TGAAGATAGTGTTAGTCATAATAAAAGGGAAGTAGCTTGCATTGGTTTTGGCATTATTGATATTTAATTTTTGAGTTATATAATAAAAAATAACTTTACTTATATCGAAAACCTTCTCTACCTTTTTTATTTGATAATCAAATTTGTATTTCATCTTACTAATAACAGCATAAACCAATCTTTACGTCAAAAACCTTGTAAAGGTTTTTCAAATCCTGTAATATTATATAAGCACTCAGGAAACTCCTCAATCCATGCTTCTTCCTTCCTTATATCTTCAGCCACACGTGCAACGGCATGAGCACCCCTATCACCTTCTCTTTTGACATCTTGAAATCCCTCACTACTTTGGTTGCAAACATCAAGAGATATGGTTGTATGCCTATATGGTCTTTTTTTTTTCCCCAATCTGAGTACATTGTTTCTAACCCCTTTTTTATGGTTCCTGCAACCCTGCTTTGGTCCTTTCTTTTCTAAATTTTTGAAGTATAGGCCTGATAACATTCTAGAAGTTGAGCCCCATACATCTTTGGGAGCAAAAGTTACAGTGGCACTTAAAAGTGCGACATAATTTTTTGTATTATAATTTTAAAAATATTGACTTAATTAAATTTAATTATTATAAATAATTGATAACTATAACTCTTAATTAATTATAAATAACAAAATTGTTAATATTTATTATTTAACATATTACAATAAATTTATAAACTAATATTTTCATATATCAATTAATTATATGACTATACATACTATAATTATAACATTTTTATTTTCTTTAATTTATGTTGTTGCTTCCAAAAATTGCCAATTGATTGATGGATTAAATTAAATCAGCTCGAGTTTCAATTCAAATGCCTGTTAAAAAATCAAAATTAAACGAGTTCATGAGTGGAGCAGGCCCAATTATTACTGATGGGATGGGTGATGGCCGAATAAAAAATTCAAATAGGCCCAATTATTAGACGCTGAGTCCCCTTCTCTACATGGTCAACAGAGATGTTCAGCAAACAATGTTACTGTTACAAATTTACAGTTGTTCAACGTCTATAAAATGCAAGTTTAGGTGTTGTAAATTATTATGTATTGTTTTTTTTTTTAAAAAAAAGAAGAAGAAGAAGAAGTTAAATTCCAAGTAATCCAGAGTTATCCTAATTTTGGTATGATCGGACAACTAAAATATAAATGAAAAATAATTTAAGGATAA